GGTAAGGTCCTCTAGAGATGACATTGTGTTGATGGCAACAAGCCTTGGAATGTCGTAGAACATACTGGAAAAGATCTGTCATCAGTCAAAGGACTCTGGTCTGTCCAGCCACACAGGAAGACCCACCGGTCTTCCTAGATTATAGTATACATTTGGATAGACATCCTCTAGAGCAGGCGTTCTATCTGGAGTCCATGAAGTAATTTTGAACATAATTTTATAACTGTACTTCAACATAATTAGCTTTCTTGGTAACATGTATTTTTATGCATTTAAAAATGTATTTCTGGGAAGGGGTCCATATGCTTCATCAGCCTGTCAGAGGGATCCATGACACACAAAAATTAAGGGCCCCTCCTTGTCCATCAGTGTGTATACCTGGGACAGACAGCATGGCCAAAAATCGGGTATAGGGTTTAACAGGAGGAGAGTGGGCATTGCAAAGCTCCTTCTAATGACCCCAAATTTCCCATGAAAGCAAAAGCCTGTATTTTTAATACCAACATTCTTCTGCTGTCAGCAAATAACAAAACATGGAATATGACGATTTCTGACAACTTAAAAATTAATATCACACAGAGGGCAATGGAGAGGCACATGGTGGTATGATCAGGCTGCAACATATCACCATCGAGGAATTTTAAAGAAGAATAGGAGTAAAAGATGTCATCAAGGAATTATATGATAAGGAGAGAAAATTATTTGTCATGTGTCTAGCATGAGGGTGATAAGAGATGGTCATCTAAAGTATTCCTCTGGTACCCTTGAAATATCAAAAGAAAGTGAGGAAGGGCTTTAGCAAGTTGGGCTAACCTTTTTGTAAAAGGCAAATTGATTTCTTTACGTGCTTTCTTTCCTCTGTTTTCTTATGCCTAAATAAAAGTGTCATAAGCTTTTATTCAACCATTTGTAAAATGGAGCTGGGAAAGAATTCACTTTCATGAGCTGGGTAGGTGAGCTAGGAGGAGAATGTGGAACTTCTTCCTGTGCCAAGGGTTCTATTTCCAGATAATTTTTCCTCTTTAATTACCAAAGTCTACTTTGGTACTAGACCTCTAGGATGAGGAAAAATTAATTAATACTTTGACATCACAACTTAACCTTTATAGACTAAAATAAGACAGATGAAAGATTATAAACAGCTAGTATGGAAATTATTATCTTTGGTTCAGTGAACTTAAGGAATTTCACAAAAGCATTTTAGGGCAAAATTCTCTCTTGGCAGCTAATTTCATGATAGTGTTATCACTCATATCCTTTTGAGATGAACCTATCAAGCTAAAGAAGGAAAAGTCAACTAAGCAAATGAAAAACTTGAAGCTTGACGTTGGATTGATGAAGTTGTTGTAGGAAGCTGTTTCATAAACCCAAAACTGTGTGGTGTCTTCTGGGTGGTGATGCTTTCGCCCTGAGTTGCTAAATGAAGTAAGAGACCAAGAGGAAGCTGGAGCAAGCTTCTATGGAGTTTTCACAAAGAGGAAAAGAACTTGTAACTGTTCAATTCTGGGGAAGCAGTGCTCTTAGCATGCTGAAAGTTAGGAAGGTTCAGGAGGCTTGTATTAGAAGCTATCTAAAGATAGTCACCCTGTCAGACAAGAATCAGCATTGCCATGGCTACATGCTAATGTGTATGAGCTTATCTGGGCCACTTTGTGGACTAGCCTGTCATAGTCAGGTGGATCTAATAATTCTCATTTTCAGTGACAGCTTAATTACTGTTAACTTGGTTTTTTTGCATAACATCTGCCACGTGCAGTATTTTCTGTGCCTCTTCCCTAACACTACCACTCTTCTGTGAAGAAGCTGGCTGTTTTAAACACCTGTGGCTAGATGGATGGAGTCCTCATCTGGGTGTCAGAAACCTTGGTTCTTGTGTTGCAGCTTCTGACCCTGATAAGGTAGACAGCACAGATCTTGGATTCAGTGAACCAGGGTTTAAATTCCACTTCTAAGGTTAAGTCACTTACCGCATTGAGCTTCAGTTTCTCCATCTGTAAAATGAGGGGATTGGATTAGAGTAGATGATCTCTGAAGTCTCTTCCAGTTCTAGGTCTGTGATGCTTGGATGAATTCATTCATGGTGTCCTGTGGTTCCCCACTTTTTTTCCCCCTCCAATTAGTACATTCCCTCTACCATTAGGCTGTTGTGGATAATGTCTATGATGGTTTTTTTTAAGGTGCCGGTGAAAGGACACAGGCATTTTGATAGTTCATAATATTACCTGAAAACTCACAAGCTCACCTATGTTCCTGACTGATCACATTTGGAAAAATCCCACACATTGTCATCAGTTTTCTTCTTAATTCCAACAGATGGAGTGTTGTACAGCAGCTGAGCCTGCCTCTTGTTTCCCATTTTTCAAGATACAATAGGGATGAGCAGAAAACTGAAGAAAATCCCTACTGATATTGATGGGGCTGAGATGATTTCTTTTTCTGGGAGTTGTGACGGGCCTTAACCTAGCAGCTGGTCAGAGTGTTGGAGAATTTGGTTCTCCGTGGTTGTTAAGCCAGTTTCCTGGGTAGTGCTCTTTACCTTTCCAGGGATGAAACTGCAGTGTAGGTTGTTGACTGTTCTTACTAAAGCAAGTGTAACCAATACATATTAGTTAAAAATAACAATATTGCAGTAGGGGAATATAGATAAACAGAGTGAAATATTAATTCTCAGGGAGCTGTGGTGTAGGGGCCGTATATAGTTCTGAAGAAAGTTTCTCTTGGTAAGATCTTATCTCTTGATCCCAACCCCTCCTTGTCTTCTCTAGAAAATTGCCTCTACTGTTGTTCCTACATTTCCACTAATCTCTAATTCTGTCCCTCTCTTGGTGCTTTCCTTACACCTACAGACATGCCCATATCTCCTCCATCTTTTAAAAAACCCTCACGTGATCCAACCATCCCTTCTGTCATTCTGTATCTCTCCTTCCCTTCTCAACCAAACTCCTTGAAAAAAGTGCCTTTATTTCCTCTCCTCCTACTCTCTTCTTACTACTCTGCAGCCTGGCTTCCTACCTCGTCATCAAGTGGAAACTCTCAAGTGATTTCGTAATTAGCAAATTAATTTCCTTTTCCCAGTCATCATTCTTGACCTTGTATTGATGCTGTCAGTCACCTCCTCCTGGGCACTCTCTCCTCCCTAGGTTTTTATGAAACTGCTCTTTCCTGGTTCTTCCACCTCATTCTTCTTGTTCTAGATCCTCATCCGTGTCTGTCATGCCCACTAACCATGGGTGTCTTCCAAGGGCCTGCCCTGTACCCTCTTCTCTTTTTCCTCTGTACTTTCTCTTGATGATATTATCAGTTTCCATGAGTTCATTTAACATGTCAGTGTAGGTGCTCCCCAGATCTGTAAGTCTTGCCTAGTCTTTCTCCTGGACTCCAGTCATACATCACCATCTGCCTTGTGGACATCTCAAGCTGGTTGATCTCATGGACATCTCAAATTCCTCATGCCAAAACAGAACTTACTATCTTTCCTCTCAAAATCACCTCTCTTCCCAACTTCCCTATTACTCTTATGGACACCAACATCTTCCCATTCACCCAGACTCACCTCAACACCACCCTTGACCCTTCACCCTCACTCACAGCATCTACATATCTAATTCATTGCCAGGTCTTATTGATGTTATAAAGGTGGAAGCAACACCATCTCTCAAATATGTTCTCTTCTCTCCTCTCACACAGCCACCACCTTAGTTCAGCCTGTCATCACCTCTTGCCTGGATTGTTGTAGTAGCCTTCCATTTGGTCTCTCAGCCTCAAGCTTCTCTCCACTCCAGTCCATCTTCTAGTCATCTGCCAAAGTGATTTTCCTAAAGCACAAATGTGACCATGTTACACACAAGCCCCCCTATTCCCACCTCTACCATCCCCCTTGAATAAAATCTTCTGCTTGGCATTTAAAGCCTTTTATAACCTGGCTCTCCTTCCTACCTTTCCAGTCTTCAGATGCTGCTGCCTTCTATACACCTGATGATCCAGCAACACTGGCCTGCTTGCTGTTCCTCACACGACACTCCCTCCTCTGTCTGTGCCTTAGCGTTGGCTGTACCTCATGCTTAGAGTATTCTCCCTCCTCTGGCTTAATATCCTTGGCTTCCTTCAAGACTCAGCCCAAATCCTCCTGGATGTGGGAGGCTGGTCCCCTTAGTTATCAGCATTCCTTCCCTTCTCAGATAACCTACCCTGTATATATCTTGCGTGTACCTAGTTTTTTTTGTGTACATCTCCTCTTTTAGGCTGTGAGCTTCTTGAGGGTAAGTATAGTCTTTGCCCTGCTCTGTATCTCCAGCACAATGCTAGACACCTAGTAAGTGCTTAATAAATGCTTATGAACTGATTGGCTTCTGCGTTGTCTTACCATATGATTTAATTTGAAGTTGGAAAGAAATTCAGCAGTCACCTAGTTAAGTCCTTTCATATTCCCGTGGCAGACACTAAGACCCAGAAAAATTAAGTAATTTATTCAGCAGAGCTGGGATTTGAACCCTACTTTTCTGACCACAAATTTCTACTATACCACACTATTTCCTTCATGCTGTTCTCTGAAGGGTTTTTTTTGAGGGGGGTGGCAAGGAGGCAGAAAGAGGAGAGAGAAATGTTATCCATCTGTCTTGCTGTCTCATGCAAAGTGATGGGGAAAACTGAGGCATAGAGAGGTCACATAATTTGCCAAATGATACAGAAGTGGAAATAGCAATGGTTTCAGATTTAGATTTAGAGCTGGAAGGGAACCATAGGTGTTGCCTAGGCTAATCCTCCCATTTTTTTGTAAATGAGAAAACTGAAGTCCAGACATGTTCAGTGACTTCCCCAAAGTCACGCAGAATAGGATATGTCCAGAAATGACCATGGTAAAAGGCATCAACAAAATGTTTTGTTTTGCTTTTTAAGTAGAGAGTAAAGTAAAAGAGGAGAAAAAAGCCCTATGTCTGTGTCTTGTGTTGTCACTTGTTTTCAGATATTTTCAAATCTGTTTCTTTTTCTTTTCTCTCTAGATATGGAGTCCTTACAAGCAGCCAGGTTGCACTGGAGACCTTGATGGTCGAATTGAAGATGATTCCCGCTGTCTCTATACCCATGAAGAGTATATCAGCCTTGTGTTGAACAGTGGGAGTGGTTTGTCCCATGACTATGCCAACCAGTCAGTCCAGGAAGACCCACGAATGATGGCTTTCTTTGACTCCTTAGTACGCCGGGAGATTGAGGGTTGGAGCTCAGACTCAGATAGTGACCTCAGCGAGAGTACCATCCTACAGCTGCATGCAGGGGTGAGTGAGCGTTCAGGCTATAGTGACTCTGAGTCCTCAACCTCCCTGCATCATTCTCCGCCACCTCTGGCAGATGAGTCAGCTGATACTGCCTACCACCTGGGATCCCTTCGAGCTACAACAGTAGCATCCCCCCCGCCCTCTTCATGTGAAGATGTGGCCTCCCGACAACAGCGTCTGTCCGCCTTGAGGAGGTACCAAGACAAGCGCTTATTGGCCCTCTCCAATGAGTCAGATTCAGATGAGAATGCTTGTGAGGCTGAACTGGATACTGACCTCTTCCCCCGACCCAGATCACCTAGCCCTGAAGAGAATGAGTCTAGTAGTTCCAGCAGCAGCAGCAGCACTGAGGATGAGGAGGAGTTAAATGAGCGGCGCACTTCTACCCGTCAAAGGAATGCTATGAGACGGCGGCAAAAGCCTCCACGAGATGATAGGTCCAGTGCCCCAGCAAAGCATGCTGGTACCTATATTGGAGAAGATAACTATGACTACCCACAGATCAAAGTGGATGATCTCTCTTCCTCACCAGCTTCCTCCCCAGAACATAGTGCCTCCAACATGGAGATTCACCCAGAACGGGTGTCCCCATCTTCTGACATGGAGTCAGTTGAACGGAAAATCTACAAAGCTTACAAATGGCTCCACTACTCCTACATCTCATATTCAACTGGTAAAGATGAAGAGACTTCCTTAGGGGTTGGGGAGACAGATGAGGGAAAACCTGGGACAAGTGAGAAAAGCAACCCTACCCCTTCTTCCAGTAAAAGTGGTTTGAGTGTAACGACTCCCCAAGGCAACCAGGATCTCCCTTCTGAAGGCCAAAGCAGGGAAGCTTTGAAAGAAGGCAGTCCTACCACAAATTCTAATAATGGCCAAGGCTGTGATCGTGACAACCACCCATGTTCAGAGGAACAAGAAGGCACATCCCAGGGCACCAATAATAGCAGCTCTATTGAACACACTTTTGAGACCAAGAAGCTCAATGGAAAAGCCCTCTGCAAAGCCATAAGTGACAGGTCTGAGGAGCAGCCTTTGTCCACAGCTCCCAAAGGATGCTGCCTGGCTCTCAGTGGTGGATCCATTAGCTGCCCTAGGACCCAGTCTGATGACAGTGAGGAGAGGAACCATGAAACTGTCTGCCCCAACCACAACAATGGACACTTCCACCCTCGACCCCTTCACCTCCACAACAATGGACAGAACTTTGGGGAGTCAGAGGCAGTCATCCACTCTTCCCCAGGACACTCAGATGCTGGCAATGACAACGTGCTCCTGCCTGGGGCTCTCTTGCACAAAGACTGCCATCTATCAGAAATGGACTGTGAGGACCACAGCACTGGCATGAAAGAGGACTCAACTGAACCTCACTTGCCAGACAGCAGGGGCACCCATGGACGAAGTGGACTCAAAAGGCACCGGGGGGAATTGGAAGACACAGATTCAGAAAATTCCTGCCCAGAGAAGAAATTAAAAACATGATAAATACAAGAGGGGAAAAAGGAGCCTGCAGAAAGAACCCTATTAAAAAGAAAAAAAAAAAGAAAAAAAGAGAAAAAACCCTGTTTAGTAAATACAGAGGAAAAGAAAAAAAGTATTAAAGGCACATAGAGCCAGGGTCTAAAATGTTGTGTCTATGATGCTGCTCCATTCCATTCAGCGATGGGTCTAAGTGTTTGGCCAGTGGCTTGTGCTGTATAAAGAAAAAAAAACCCAAGTGACTCCTTTATTAGTGAGACTTGAGTATAGTGTACCTGTGCAAGGTTCTGTTAAAGTAAATCCTTGTTGAGACATTTGACTTGTTCTTGTGTGTGTGTGCGCGTGTGCGCATGCTCATATGTGAGAGAGAGAGAGTGTGTGTGTGTGTGTGTGTGTGTGTGTGTGTGCGTGCCTGCACACATGCGTGTGTGTGTGTGTGTGTGTGTGTGTTCAGCCTCTCTGCCTGGCTGTTGAGTAAGAATTTTCTTTTAGTTCTCCACTTGAAAGAATATATAGATGTATATTTTTTTGCCACCTCACTGTTTACACATCATAGGTATTCTGGTCTTAATGAGGGGTAACTGCTACATTTGACCCTGTTTTGAACAGGAATTGTAGAGATGTGGCTCTTGTAGCAGACTAGAGAGCTAATGGAAATAGTCTTTCAGCCCATTGCCTGTGCTGATGAGAAGAGCATGGTTGCTTTCTTGAAAATTGTGAAGCCTTCCATGTTTTCTATATGTAGCACTTTTTTCATAAAGCACTTAATGTGGATGTATTTCATTAAAGCATTCTTCATGATAATGAGAGGTTATGGGGAAAATGACCTTTTTCAGGTTCAGGGAGAATACATGTTCCTAATAAACTTCATTGTTTTCAAGTTTGGTAATGCCGCAACACACCCTTTATGAAGATTTTAAGTTGGAATTATATGCGCTGTAACCAATTTGGTGCTAGTTTTTAGATCCCGTTTGAACAAAAACCAGCAGGTGCTTCCTTGGCCCCGTATGTTGCGGGCTAGGCTTGTAGGGGAAGAAGAATGACAGTTTTTAGGAGCTTTGCACCTTCACTACTAACAGATTCTCATCGATGAGCAACTAAGAGCCATTCAGGTGGAGGGGAGTGTCTAGTTGAAAGAGAAAAGAGACAAATAATTTGTCACAAACCCCATTGGCCAGATGTCATCTGATTTGAAACTCCCTCACGATTGCTCATGATAGGAGCCGTGATCTGGCTCCTGCACTGTAGTGTACATCCTGAAGTATCCGTTCCTCTTAAGTTGGGCATTAACAAGGCAGAGAATGTGTGTGAGGAGATGAGTGTTCATTAGATAAAGCTACATTGCTTTGACATTTAGGAAGAGAAAAGGGCGAAGACCAAAAGACTCCCAGTGCTGCCGTGTAGGGGTTAGAATCCCCTGGGCGTGGTGAATATTTGGCATGCATTGAAACATGAAACATGGTTTTATGAGCCCAGTGTAAGTCCATGGAACTGGTCAGCTGGATTGCCTACACAGAGATCCATGAAAAGGCAAGGGAATCTAGACTGAACAAAGGAGTGAGGGAAGAAAAGCAATACACTTTCTGTTAGTCCAACTGGAAACTAGATCTGAAAATTAGTACCTGACTTTCAAACCTGATGTCTTTTAGTGTTCGAAGCATTTTCCTTTCACAAGGATGCTTTAGGAGATCACGATGTGGCAGAGGTTTGTCAAGGAGGAAGGCTGAGGAGGATGTGATAGAGAAAAGAGGTCCAAAGTTTGTAGAAAAAAGAGATTTGACTCCTTTTAGGCATTGAGGGAACTACAGAAGGGAATGTCATCTTGCCAAGCTTGCTGTAAAGTTAAAGATACACCTGGCATGGTATGATGCAACTTAGGTATGAAAACAGCCTTGGGGGGAATGAGAGGGGAGGCAATATTTTCTATCAACAGGATCAATAGTAGTGGGAAGGGCTTAAAATTGAGCAACTATTATTTACTGGAAGAAGGGAAGAAAAGTTCTGTAACAACCATTAGAATTTTTTCAGATTTGTAATCAAGATGGCTTCATGAGTTGTCTTCTTTGATTATACACAGATCACTGTAAATTGTTTTTTATAAGCCCAAGTAATTTTTAAGAATTTTGCTTTTGCAAAGTTTATTAAATTGAAAAGGTTTTTTTTTAATCCTTCATATACAAAAGATAATCATTTGGTGTGTGTTTCTCTGCTACTTCTTAGGTTTTCCCTTTTTGGTTTTTCTCTCTAGCAAGTTAGCAGAGGTGATTTGATCCAAGGAAGTCACTCATCCTGGAGAAGAAGTAGGTTTGTGTTCCCTTGAAGATAACCTATTTGGTAGTTCCAATTCTTAAAGCACAAAACTTGGCTTCTGCTTTCAGGGGCTTTAAATCTGGCTCTAATCACCTTATATCCAAGTTTCTGAAAGGACAAAAGGAAGTTCATTCTGGTTATTAGCTTTTTAGTATTCAGTCAAGAGAGATGAATTTTAACAGGAATGAATATCATTCCTGAGTATGACCTTCTGCTCTAGGGCTCTTTTCCCCAGCATCCTAGATTTCAGTTTCTAAAATGACATTATTCTTGAAATATTTTGATACAACAAACATTTCCTGACAAATATACCCAAACAACTCTCACCCCCATATAAAGTACAATTCCCTAAAACAAAAACCCACCAATTTTTTAATCTTTCATAGAAGAGAGGACTGTGTACATTAATTTTGATGGTATGGTTCCACATTAACTATTGTATTAGACCTGAGTTTTATTGCCTCTCATTGTCTTAAGATTTACATTGTTGGAGTCATTATATATATAATTTTTTTGGCTCTGCTTTCTTCTCTGCATCACTTGCTAGAAGGCAGTGTAAAAGATCCCACTCCACTCTCAAGAGGTTTGATTCCTGAAGAAGGCAATCCTAAAAATTGGAGATGCTTTCCAGAAATCCTTTTCCAAAGTCACAGCAGGTTCAAGGCCATAGGAGACCACTTGGGAGAATATCTTATGACAACATTTACTCCCCAAAACAGCTTGGTAATAATAGATATTTTGATGGCTAAGTAGGAGGCACAAAATGAAATTGAAGAGCCATTATTTATAGGTTTATAGCTTTATTTTCTCCAAACTTTTTGAAAACTGCATCCTGTGTATTCAAATGGCTAAAGCAAATGTCACTGCATTTTTTTTTTAGCTGCAGTTATTTTCTACTTGTTTTGCAAGTAATTCCTATCTCTCTAGTATAGTGGGTAAACAAGATACTAGATTGGGGAGAATGGTAATTACAACTAGTTTTGATCTAACATGCTCAAAATTACCTCTGTTTTTGTATGCAAAGTACCTTGCCTTCTGAAGCCCTCTCTTCTCACCCAGTAATAAATCCTTCTCATGTATGTACAAAAATAAATCTAGTATCTGTCCCCTAGTAACTGCTCATCTATTCCTCTTCCTGGAAACTGAGTCACCCAAACACTCCCTTTCTTCCTATTTTAACTCTTACTTAAAGAACAGAGGAAGAGGAAGTAGTTCCAGCTAGGTGAAACCTATCCAACTTAGTAGCAGACTTGGTTGGCAATTAATGGCTATGTACTGGGAAGAAATAAGGTCCTTGCACTCTGTGTTTATTGTAAATTTAACTCTAATTTCTAGCCCTGGGTTAAAGATCATCAAGAAGGAAATATGTGGGGAGGGAGGTATGTCAACTTGATTCCCATTATCACTGAGACCAAGAGATAGTCAGCAGTATTGCATCAGAAAAAAAAGTGCTGGATTTGAAATCAGAAGACCTGAGTTCAAATCTAAATCTTTAGCCAGTTGTGTCAGCTCATGTTTGCTGACCCTGGTAAGATATTGAATGAATCAAGATTTGATTTGTTGAATGAATCAAAATTTGATTTGAGACATTTTGAACTTTTTTCAATGAAAAGTGAAAAGTTTAGTAAGTGCCTTCAGCATAGGAGAAAGAAAGGTGAAGAATGAGGCACTCGTGGGTATGCATAAAGGGCAGAAATGAATTTTCTTAGCCCCTTTAAAGCTAAAGTGGACTAAAAAAGTCAAATACAGGGCTTAGTTATGCCACAAGATGGCTACCAGCAAGACGACAGTAATAGAAAATGGAACCAGGAAAATAGTACAAAAGGAAAATGAGGTACTAGGTTACAACTCTAGAAGACAATGGTTAACTATACAGTTATGCACGTATTGTAAGTAGTGTGTAGCTATTTCTTCATGAAAACATCTCAATTGCAGTCATTTAGGTGCCTCCCTCCACTGCCACCCAACCATAAAAACGTATCTTTTTATAATGGAAATAAAAAAGGGTAGAATTAACTTCACAGAAATTTGCTTTCCAGCCAACTTTGCAGGGATGCCATCAATTTCGAGGTAATGGATACATGTAAAATGAAATCTGCTCAAAATACACTTATTGCAGATTGTTGTGTGATTGATACTTCAAGGACCTATGATTTCATTGGTATGTTGTACTTCTTCCACAGTGAAGTCAACCTGGTTGATGACATCTCTGAACTTAGCTAGACTGGTCCTCAAACAGCACACTAAAGTCCATCCATGATTCTGTAGCCAAAGCCTTTCAGCTTGTTAGAAGCTGCCAGCAATTACATTCCCATAGCATTCAATACCCTAGCTTTTCAATCCTAGATTTCAATTTGTTAGAAGGTATTCTTTTTTTTTAAGAATGTGGATACATTTTAATTTGATACAACAAACACTCCCCCAACAAATGCCTGGATAAATCTTACGAAGTACATTCCCTCAAAACAACGTATTGATCCTTCAAGAAAGGAGGATTGTGTACATTAATTTCGACAGTATGGTACCAACATTGATTTAGAGCTGAGGGTTGGGTTTGTATGTATGTGTGTGGTTTTTGGTTTTTTGCTGCTCGCTTACTTTAGATTTGTCTTACTATAGTGATTATATGTAGAAGCAACTAGATGGCTCAGTGCATAGAAGGCTGATCCTGGAGTCAGGAAGACCTGAGTTCATACCTGGCCTCAAACTTACTAGCTATGTGACCCTGGACAAGTCATTTAACCTCTGTTTGCCTTAATCCACTGGAGAAGGAAATGGCAAACCACTCCAGTGTTTTTAACCAAGAAAACCCCATGGACGATAGGGTCATGAAGAATCAGACACAACCAAACAAGTAATTATATGTTATTCTTTTGACTCTGCTTTTTTCCCCACTCTATTGCTCACTAGAAGGAATAACTTTTGAGAACCCAATATTACCTCAAGGCCATGGAAAAGTCTTAGAATAGGATGGTAGGTTAGGTATGATTCATAGCAATTGAAATAC